GCCGCAAGGAGAGCTTCGGATGTGGTTTCCTACTTCCTATCCATACACACACACAAAAATTCAATGAATGTGTTCAGCCGGGGTTTTTTTTTCTTTAGAACCCCTTCAGTCTCTTCATTGCTCTCGACGGCTCGATTCCAAAGATCATCAGTCGTGCCCTTGTCCCATGTGCCTGATCCTTGGCTTCTTCAGCCACCCCGGGTCCCTTTGCTCAGACTTCGGCATTACAACAAAATTGGCGAGCGTTCTCACACTTCGGTGCACAACTAAAGTCTCAGAAAAAAAAGAGAAAATGTAGGGTGGAGAAAATCTGTCTCAGGTTAGCTTGAAGCTCAGCGAGGGGATCCTCTCTGCTTCACTGCCTGGGACAGACTGAAAACTGCACACAGCAAGGGACGGCACACACACACACACACACACACACTCAAACAACTCACACACACACACACACACACACACACACACACACACACACAAACGTCCCATTGCAACTTTGTTCAACACACTTTTCCACACGTGCTTTTATGGGTGGATAGAACTCACTCCGTGCCAAGAAGCAAAACGACATTCACTCGAGGAGGTACATATTGACAAAAATGGATTTTAAAAAATTAAACAAAGAAAAATAGATAAATGCTAAAAATGTGGTCAAGTCGTAGTTTCCTTCTTGGTAAGCACAGAATAGCGTGTAGTTCTATGCTGCCACCATGTGGAAAGAAAGGGACAGTGCAGTTTTGGCAAGTAGAATTAAAGTACAGTGCCACTACGATTTTAGTTTTTTTATTTTTCCAACTATAATATACACCAAGGGTTCTCAAACTTTTGATTTACAGAGGACATTTTATTTTACACACACACACACACACACACCTCGTTTACGTTTTCAACCCTATAACGTTCACATTTCAAAGTCCCAACTTCACGTAATTCATTTTCAATTTGCCGATTTTGCTTACAACGAACATCATAATAACAAACTTCATTTTAACGACCAGATTTTTCCCACAAAATAGTGCAAAGGCCTTCGCCGCGACCTTGCTTACGAACAACATGTACAGCGCGGGATTTCCCTCCATTGCTTAGCAACACGGCGGATTGACTCGTACATTGTTGTAATGTACATATTTGTTATATCCCTCGAGTTACAGTACGTTGTAACAAGGTTCGAGGAGAGAGAGAGGGAGATAGTTGTACTTTGTAAATAAAGTAGGAATGTTACAAAATTAGATCGTCCATTTAGTGCTCACGTGCCAGACAACGACCAGCTACAAAGTTCAATTTGTACAACTTTTATTGAAACTCAAACATAAAGCGTTCATCTTAAAAATATATATTTTTTACAAAGACCTCTGGCATAAAACTAAGAAAATAATGCAAAACGAATATGTCATGAGTATGACTTAAACAATGTAAGTATTGTGATGGCAGTTTAATTAAAACAAGATTGGCAACAAGCATGATCATGATTATGTTTTAACAAGTGTGTTTTGTCAAACACGGCCATTTATGATGCTGCTAATCGTGAGGTCTTTTTCCTTCTCCGCCACAATGTTGTGATAAAGAGAGCAGCACAATTTCTCTTGTTCTGGCTCAGAGAAGGAGGCCTTGGAAAACATCACCTGCTCGTCCGCATTGATCTCCACGCCACACGCCTGGCACAGCGTGCTCGTCAGACGCTTCTCCAAGGCGAGGAGCTTACACAGCGCATCCAGTGGGAAACGACAGTTCCGGCTGCCGTAGCCGTGGCTGTAAATGAGCAGCAGGTCCTTCCGGCTCGCCGTCACATGACGGTGTAAAGCACAGGCCTGCAGGAAGCTCAGCCGGTGAGCGCAGCGCAGCAGACGTACCGGGTTGCGCTCCAAGAAGGACCGGTTAATGGAGATGGCGAGCATGATGGCGGGGGCGCGACGAAGTGGTGCTGGAAGCTCCATGATGTGCTGCATGGCTCTATGGGAACCTTGGGGTGGACAAAATTGTTGGTACACCTCTGTTCATGAAACAAAAGTTGCACAGTGACAACTTGTCACCCTCCAAAGAGGCCGACTGACTCGATTACAAATTTGAAGAGACTTGTGAGGCTCATAAAAGGACACACATGGGTTGAGCATGTCATGATAGTCAAATTATTTTTGTCCAGGCCTATTTCACAAGTTTTTTAAAAAAAATAATAATTCTGTTGAACTACAATTTCAACTCAAAATTCTGATTTTCATTAGTTACCATTAATTTTCATAAAATTTTTAGTTTATTATTACTTTTATCAGACTCAGGTTATTTTTGTGACTACTGTGGGTTTATCTTTCATAAACAATTTTGTCCACCTGAGTTTTGGGTTTTTTTTGGTATGTGGCAGCTTTGATTTGATCTGATTTATTACTTATTCATCCTGCACGCTCGCCAACAGAAAAATTAAGCAACCCACCTAAGTTGTAGAGCAAACCGAGAGCCTGGAATTCATCCTGGTTGGGATGTGGCCCGGTTTCGTTCGCGTAGCAGTCCAGCAGCCAGCTGAGGTTCTCCTGGAGGTGCGTGTCATTGATGCAGGGATCAAAAAGTTGCAGGGGCTCGTCACAGAGCCGGTGCGAGGCGTATATGAGGAAGCGCACCATTCGCTCCAAAATGGCCACACAGTCTGGCCCGTGCGCCCTCTGAATGATCATGTCCTGCTTCACGCTGCGCAGGCGGTCAAAAACAAAGCTATACACCTGCAACGTATATGCAGAATTCATGTTTAGTTTTTACAATGTGTTCAATTCAAGCTGGGCGATATCACCTTAAAATAGCCAATTTATTCTTAGTTTCAATCAAAATTTGATTTGTTTTCTCATTAAAAAATATATTTTTTGTTCAGAAAAATAAAATGTAAACATTTTTGCACAAGAAAAAAAAACTTTTTGGGTTATTTCCCAAGCACTAACTGGTATCAACTTAAAAAATAAAAAAATAAAAAAATAAATCACTCAACGAGTCAGAAGAGTCACTAAATATAGCGACCAAATTGCTCAGTTGGCAACAACGACCATGCTTTTGTAAAACTAGCTCTTCTCTGTTCACAGCCATGATGCTAGTGCAGACAGTTCACATCAGCAGAGATGAATTTGAAACTCTGGTAAGCCAATAAACAAATAAAAAGCTACCAGCCTCAGTAAAAGGATGCAAATGCGGAGATGCAGCGACCTCATCAATCAGGTAACACACAGTTTTCAGCAACACAGCAGGGGGACGGAGGTCGGCGGAGTTGGCAAAGTCTTTCCCAGCCGCCGGTCTGGAATACTCCTTGACTGCACGCAGGGGGTCAGCTCGGGGTCTGCGGTCTTTCTCCGTTCCCACCGCCATCTCGAAGCGATGCAGACGATTTTGGGATTCCCGTTTATGCAGCTCCCGGGCTGGACACATGGTCTGGCAGACGCCCCTGGGAACAGTATTGTCTCCACGCTGCGGAGTTTTGACATTTTCTTTCATCTGGGACTGACTGCGGCCTTGCCCGCGTCCCGGGTTCTGCCATTTTCTGCTCCCCTTGTTGTGGTGCATCATTCCGCAGGGAGGTGGAGCTGCTTGGGGGAAGCACAATGACACAACAATGATCCAACCGTTGTCTATCGCGCTTGCACTCAGAGTGGCAGGTGTGTTGGAGTTAATTGTGACTGGGGCGTGAGGCGGGCAGCACTCTGAACTTGTCGCCAGTCACATACAAAAACAACCATTCACAATTAGAGATATGACAATTTAGTCTTTAATAAAACTAACGAACCTTTGCAAGTACAGTAAGAACGTGCAAAACGCCACACAGAAAGGTCCACGGCGGGTTAGGAAGAATCACATGTGAGGCAAACGTGCTAAGCACCAAACCACCAATGTGTTTCGTACAGTTACATATTCACAAAGCATCAGTGTCAGGCGAGTTATATTCCTTTCAGGATATGACATTTTGCAACTAATTATCAGCCAGCTGCGTTTTACCTGCGTTGGTCATCATATTTTTAACTAGCTAAGAGTGAATGACAGCATTATATCCGCGTTGAACATTAAAACCAAAATTTAGAGACGTGTTTCGTAGCTTCCATTATACAGTACCAGCACTTACCACTACTAGCGGAAATCAAGCTTGTAAGAGACCAAAATTGTAGTTCGAATGCGTCACAGTATACAGCCGCGCCAAGTATTCAAATATGTAGCGTGTGACACTCCAATTTAATGACATTGAGAAAAAAAAAATAGTAACTCACTGGTGAAGTGGGGGCACCGTCGCCTTTCATTGGCACTTGATTACAAATACTTCTTCTACGTTCTTCACCGGCGTAAACAGCAAACACTTGAAGGCGCACACTGCCACCTATCGAACAAATCTACCTCATCACTACTCACTGCATTTAAAATGCGAAGGCCCACATTTAAAAGATACTGTATTTAGCATTTTGTCTGCATCATTTATATATGAAGGCTTTTATCACGCCTCTTTTTTTAATACTTTTCATAGTGACCCTTTTTACGCCGGTCACTATTTGTAAAACACACACAGCAACGTTTGGAGAAATGAATACACAAAACTTTAGGGAGGAACGATGGCTAAAGGGATGATTTTACTTTGTTAGTATGCTTAAAATACGATATGCATATTTTTAGAGGTCAATGCTAACAATAAATTTTCTTTATTGTTGTTGATTTTTGTAAAAGTGGGTCAGGACTGAGTGATAATAGAACATGGGCCCCAGAGTGACAACAGTTGAGAACCACGAGTGTAGACGAGGGGTTATCAACGTGATTTCCGCGGGCACTGAGTAGCCCCCTCTAAGGACCATGAGCATCCCGCAGGCATGTTCTAAAAATATCTCACCAGTGACAGAACATTGCCATTTTTAGGTTAATGTTGTATAACTGATCAACGGCAAATGTGAACACTAAAGTTACATAAAAAATAAATAGTGTTGCAAAGTGATATTGATCTGCTTTCATTCACTATTTCTTGTAACAAAGCTCCAAAGTTTTAGAGAAAACAAGTAGAATTTTGCTATTTACCCTTTTATTGCAGTGGTGACACACATGGATACCAAGTTGCCTGCGAGGACCACAAGTTGTGCGTGGGCCTGCTCTAAAATAAGTCCAATCATAACACCGATTAATTGCGAGAAATCATTAACATGATCAGAGTCTCCACATCACAAATGTATCCACATTACACAATTAAAAGGTAAATTGAGGAAATGTATTTATTTATTTCAAAAGAGAGCATCAAACTGGTCGTGGGAAGTGAATGTAGATTATATTCCCACGCTGTCACCGTTTTGGGCAGTATAGTTCCAGGACCCTGGCAGAGCCCATTTTCTCCTCCTCCTCAGCCTGCTGTACTAAGACGCCGCGACGGGAATGTAGCGATGACAACTCCAGCAGTTCGGAAAGCAATCTGAAATATTGGGAAAAACAAAGCGGGTAAAACCTGGACATTAAACAGTCCATGATATTAATTATGTATACACCAGTTGTGCATTTAGACAAAGTCTTTTTAGATGAGCTATGAATTGATTTTATCCATATTACATTTTAGCGATGAATTTTGAGTTTATTGGGATGGTTTTTGTGAAGCAGCTTCGAGTTCAAAACGTGTCCAACCCTTGAGGTCCACTGAGAACATGGCTACGGACAAAAAGGGGCTAGTGTCAACTGAGCAATTTATGTGATATATTCCAATGACAGTTAAAAAAAATAAAAATAGAATAAAGACGACACTCACGTGACAGCTCACAAATTGTGTACTTTTACACTCGTGTTTGGGCAGCCACTGTATGTATCCATGGAATTAAAAAGTGACTTATCCATAATTCATTCATTCATTATTTTTCGATCCTCTTCTCCTCCCAAGGGTCGCAGGGGGTGCTGGAGCCTATCCCAGCCGTCTTCGGGCAGTAGGCGGGGGATACCCTGAACCAGTTGCCAGCCAATCGCAGGGCACACAGAGACGAACAACTATCCGCGCTCACACTCACACCTCGGGACAATTTTGAGTTTTCAATCAGCGTGCCATGCATGTTTTTGGAATGTGGGAGGAAACCGGAGTACCCGGAGAAAATCCACGCAGGCCCGGGAGAACATGCAAACTCCACACAGGGAGGCCGGAGCTGGAATGGAACTTCTGCACTGTGAGGTCGACGCGCTAACCACTGGACCACAAGGCCGCCTCCTTACCCATAAATATCTCCCCTAAAAAAATTTCAAGCACCAGCGTGAACGTGGTGTATTTAACTACGGTGTGATGAAATCCCATGAGCCCCAACCTCATGAGTCTTTGGCTTGAGTACCCACCCAGGCAACTGCTGAAGCATGTCTTTCGAGTCCCTCTTAATTCCTTGAAGGGACTCCAGAGCGACACGGTTGTCCTCGTGATCTCCCTCTGTTAAGTCTTTCAGAAGCACCTCGCTTTCCTTCAAACAAGCCTCTGCTTTACCTAGAGGGGGGAGGGCAATTATGTGTTTTTACATTCACCGATGTTTATATTTCTCCAGCTGCCCAGCTTTTCACATAGGCATGGAAGATTAAAAAAAATAATAATAAGTCACCGACCGAGAAATTCCCGCCCGTCGCCGGCAATGTGGAAGTTCCTGACCGGCAGCACGTGTCGGGTGGTGTCGACAGCTGAGGCCAAAGTCCTGTATGACTCTGTGAAGGGTTTGACAGCTTCTGACGCAGGAGTCAAATCAGAAATCTGATGGGACAAATCGGATAAAGACTATTAGACACTGACAGCATTGTTTTAAGATCAATTTGTAAGCGATGGAATGTAGTTATGTGCTCCTTCCAGACTAAAGAGCAATTACATTCTCAAAACACTGGTGGTATTTGTCGCATTATTGTAGCCGTCTCTCCAAAAATTCGATTAATTTGAGGATGCATTCCAGAGTCTGTGCTGATACTGTATGCCTGCACCCGTGCTCCGAAATTAAAACACAAATACCTCTTTAGTTTGACATGTACCTCATCAAGCAAGTTCTGAAGGATCCTGATAACAATAACAATCCGGATCTTTTGAACCAGGTGGGTTGCAGCAGGGAGAGATGGAAAACATGCAGGATAACGGCCCTCGAGGACCTGTGCATTACGGCGTACCTCAATCAGGAGGACTAAGAAGCCTAAAAGCGTAAAATTATAAAAGTGGTATAAAGTATTTATAATATCGGCAATGGTATTTGTTTTCAAAATAGAGTCCTGCGCTTCGATTTTGACTTATGAGGTCGGCACGATAAATGTTCTCCAAATTACATTACAGTAGATATTTTTTTTTTAAATCAATTTATCTTTCATAAAAGACCATACAATCCATTCGGAAATAAATTTCAACCGAAATTTCTCTGTCTTTGAAATTGCTCCACAGGAGAATCCTGTTTGCTGCTCGACATAATGTGAATTTAAGAAATAAAAATAGTTTATTATATAGAAAAAGAAAAACACTTGTTTTGTATAGGTTATTGTTGAATAAAAATCCTTGCTTAGGGCGTCTGGGATTAACCTGCAGAAAATTGCTCCTGAAAAGAAGTCATTGATGAGCAAAACTGCGGCGGAAAAAGAAAAATAAACATTTTAATCCTTGTAAATAATGTTGACATTTTCCTTTTTTTTTTTTTTTTTTAAACTGCAGATAGAGATTACCATGCATCCATCATCCAAACCGCCAAAGGTTGGGAAACAGTGACACAAACTACTCATTCACATGGTTAAAATGAAAATGCGACTCTATTTTTCGTTTAATTTTTTTAATTTCCTGACCTGCAAGTCCAGAAGCTCATTGGCCAGCCTCCGCTTCTCCATGAGGAGGTACTGCCGCTTCTTTTCCATCACCTCGCTGTGCAGCGCCGCCTCCTCCTCCATCATGTGCAGCAGCCTCGCCTCCGCCTCGGGCTTCAGCTTGGCCATGTTATGAGCCATCTAAAGTCAAACAATCACTCAAAATCGTGCCACATTTTGACCCCCGAAAAAAAACACACAATAGCCTGTCAGGAGCTCACCTTGGCTGTGAGAAAAGCCAAAGGCCACGCTTGCATCTCGATGCACTTCTTGTCGTCATCTTCTTGGCTCCTCTTAGTCTCTTCAGAACTTTGGTGCACTGTTTTACCTGAAAGAGTGACCATAACACCATTTTAGGACAGTCTCATTTGTAAGAACGTGAGCTACTCAGTTTACCTCCAATGGCTGAAATATCAAAATCAGGACGGAAGTTGTGTCCGTCGGAGAAGGTGGACTGGAGGACCATGTTTTGTAAGACTGAAGATTCATCCCGATGTGTCGCCTTGGCTGAAAGTAACATAATGTAGCCATTTCAATTGGGTGTGGGAGGCACCCTCGCAAATCAGAGTATCCCTTTGTTCTTTCCATTTTCACTTGGTAATCAAAACGGAAACAAAAGTGACCGTTTTTCATCCAACACAAATAAGAAAAGAGATCCAATTTTGTTTATTTCAGTTTTAGGCTCAGATTTTTTTTTTAATCGAAAAAAATGGCACAGGTCTTAATTTGATTTTCATTATTCCGAATATATGCCAGTATATTACATAAGTAACCTATTGTTGTATTGTAAGTCATAAGCTACAAAGTTTAGCACAAGGAGAAGACATGTTCTTTTTTTTTAACTTAATCAAACTCCTTTTTTACATTTAAACTGAAAACGACCCAGGAATGTGGGTCTCAGTGACCCAAATTAGCGGGTAAATCCAATTTTGACCGAAAGTTTGACTCTTGTCTTTTCAAATTGTATCATTCCTGGATCAAATGTGGCTCACGGATCATTTGATGAATCGTGGTTGCGGTCTGCTATTTTGGATAATATTCTTTTTCTTTGTTTTTTTAGCTGCCGATTGAAAATAGAAAAACAACTGATACACAGATGCAATCTGAATGAAATCTGTTTGTACACATTACGTACATGTTCCATGAGCTGGCGGGACCATGGAGCATTGCGCAGGGGCGCATTTCGCACGGACGGGTTTAGGCGACAAGAACTTTTGTTGTGAACTCCCGGAATCGTTGTTGTGGGAGTTACTCTGTGGAAGAAAAACGATTCATGGGGATGTACTGATAACTACCGAGTAGAGTTCTAACAAACAGCTTGGCTCTACATTATCATCATTATGAAAAACTATTGTGCCTGTTTGAAATAGTCACATTGTGTATTCAAAAAAAACATTGAAATCCATTGTATTACCTTTGAAAGAGAGGACTTCTCAGCAGCTTGCATGTACCGAGATGGGACAATCTTCCCATTTGCTAAATAAGAAAAATTGCAACAATGTTAGATCTAGCGATCTGTCTGAGAAAATCCCAAGTAACAGTTCGCATGCCTGTAGGTGTTTTTGTAATTGGGATTTACTAGATACAGTATATGTTCAGTAATAGGGGTAAAATTATCATCATGCAGGCAAATGCCAATTATATTTGAATTTACTGCACCTGCAGTTCAATGAACTAGTTGTTAGCGTATTTCTGAGGTTTGGGGGTTTCTCAAGGTACTCAGGCTTTCTCCCAGATTCCAAAAACAGGTCATTTGGTTTAATGTAGACTCAAAATTGACCAGAGGTGTGAATGTGAACGTAAATGGTCATATACTGAATGTGCCTGACGATTGGCTTCCAACCAGTCCAGGGTGTTGAATGCATTTCGCCTGAAGTCATTTAGAGTCCAGCTCAGACAGTATACATTTAAAAAAAAAGGAGGGGGGTGAGAAGAATATGAGAAGAATTAATACATACATATTCCCAAAGCTGCAGGGCCCATGGAGCATCGCACAGGAGTGCCTACTTTTACTTTGGAAGTGCTGGGTTTAGGCGAGGAGGGTCTCTGTGGTAAACTCACAGAATCACTGTTAAGCGAGTTACTCTGTGGGGAAGAGATGGGAATGTGACGATAAGTTAAATGAAGTCATTGTAATTCTTTTTTTCTTTTAAAAAAAAGTGTTAAAAAGACTGAAGAAAGGATGTCAAAATCACACATCTGATTGGACAGAAATTTAAGGCCATATCACCCACCTACCCTTGAAACAGACTTTCTCTCAGCAGCCTGCACGCATCGAGATTGGATAGAAACTCCTTTTGCTAAATAATAAGAACAACAATGTAAACATTGACAATTGTAGCAGACTTGTAGAAAGGAAAAATCATAGTGCAGTCTCATTTGAAACGATGTGTGTGTGGCATCCAGCAAATTGCGTAATATCATGCCATATCACGGTTAGTAAGCAAAAGCACCTACAGTATCATTACATTTCAATCCACACAAATTTTACCCAACACCTACATTTGGAAGTGGTCGCAGTGGGTTTCTTCGCAGTTGCACTCTTGTTGGTTTTAGAGCCAATCCCACTTTTTAAACAGAAAACAGATCGATAGTCAGGTTGCGATTACGTTGAAATACGACTAACTGCGAAAATGTTATGTATGAACTGTTTATTTTCAAAAACCGAAACAAAAACGAAAGCAGAAACACAACAATACCTTTTCGCATCTGCGACGGTACTTTTAGCGCCGCTAGTTTCTTGCGTCGCTTTCCCGGAGGCCATGTTTGTTGTTCAAGTTTCGGAGGAACCCGCCCTGAACGTCAAATATATACGTCGATGGGAAACAAGAAGCAGTGAATTGGTTCCGCTACTCCCTTCGATATCGCTGACTAGTTCGTGTAGTTTGTTTTTATCTAGCACAAGCAGGCAGTTGGGATTCGTTTAGCATTGTTCAGAGTATCATAGGCACCCGTTGTATGTTTTAAAAAAAACTTGATTAAAATACCACTTTGGTTCACACCTAACTGTGACTCCCATGTTAGTCGCTTTATTTGTGGCAATTATACAAAAGGATCGTCACAATCCTTCACTTATCCGTCATTACTATTCGTGATAAATAAAAAAGACGGTTGTCCAAAAGTAGGTATTTTGTTTGTGTTTTCATTTATTTATTTTATAATTACAAGAATTAAACATGTCATAAATGTTCAACATTGCAACGTTCCACAAACCACCAATTCCCTATTTAATTTTCAATTTCAATTAATTTTCTGAGAGTGGCCCAGTGGTTTCACAGTGCAGAGGCACCAGGTTCAATTCCAGCTCCGGCCTCCCTGTGTGGAGTTTGCATGTTCTCCCCGGGCCCGTGTGGGTTTTCTCGGGGTAATCCGGTTTCCTCCCGCAGGCCCAGGGAGAACTTGCAAACTCCACACAGGAAGGCCGGAGCCGGGATCAAACCCAGGGCCTCTGCGCTGTGAGGTCAATGAGCTAACCACTAGACCACCGGGCCTCCTCCTTTCTTTCTTCTAAACTATACGTACTTTTGCCCCACATTGTAGTACAGTATATTTCATGTTAGCGCACACCCTCATATTTTCCTACTTATGCTGCTGACAAGTGAATTACACATTTTGATTTCCATTCACAACATCCATGGACATATTCAGCTTAGCAATTGCCACTAGATGGCTGTATGGGTCCGTGTTCACAATTCATTAAAAAAAAATTTGGTGACATCTCACATTGCTTCGAAGAAGTTGTTGTTTCACAGTTGCTGGTTAATCATGTATTTTTTTTTTTCAGCGATCTAGTCTCAGTCAGTCGTGCATTTAATTCCTCACTCCATATGTGTGGAGATCGAATTAGCCACTTCTCAGGCCTCATACACAGTAAGCTTTCATGGAAATTTGTATGTGCACAAGTCTTAAGGAACAAGGCGGGTTCCGATCCCCGCCTGTCTGAGCTGCTGTGGGACAACACGCGAGACAATGGCAAGGTAGAGGGTGTGGGACGGGAGGGGTCTGGAGGAAAAAGATATTTAAAGCTCTTCCACTGACATGAACAAAGTGTAATTGCGTCCAGAAGTTAGGAATAGTCCCATGTGGGGGAAGGCTCTAATGTATGGCATGATGACGACGTGTGATGAATCACGCTATAGCCGAGGCTCTGGGACTGGATTCATCCTGACCTTTCAGAACTTAATGAATTTTAATGATAAAGGTTGACCATTTGTGTAAAGGTCGAATCATCTCTCACCACCAGGCAATGCCACCACGGCCCTTTTCTACTTTGAGGCAGGCAACAAGCACAGTCACTTGACAGAGGCAAATATTTTATATTCCGGGACATATTGTAGATTGAATTTGAATATTTAAACAGAGGTGGATTGCTTTCTTCATGATCTTGTGTATAAAGACACAGAGCAACCCGAGAGAGAGGTTGAGGAGACGGTGTTGAGGATTTACTGAAAGGCAACTGTGTCAGGAGACACGAGTGCACTGAAAGAAAGTCCTTGTCTGTTTTTTTCCCCCCAAAGCCTTCTCCGAAAATGTGATGTCCATTAAGTCAGTCAGTGGCTGTCTAATTTTTTGGGTCCACACACTTGAAAGTGCTGGGTCAAAAGTAACCCAAAATGGGTGAGATAGCCGACCCAACAATGGGTCCAAAAGAGCCTGAGCAAATGCTGGGTTATTCATATTTTACGCATTGGTTTGAGGATCTTGACCCATCATGTTGGGTCAAGATTTTGATTCAACAAGGGGTAAAAACTACCTATACTAATGAGTTACAGCTACCAAAAATTGGCTTACTGTGTTATCTGTATAGCTGTAGTTAAAAAAAAAATCCCAATTTCATTACCAACATTTTCCACGAATAAAGTTGTCAGGGGGTCACAACAAGAAGTCATTCACATGATATGTTTGACACAATTTTTACACTGGATTTCATTTGTTGCCCATTTTACGTGGCTCGGCTGTCCACCTACTGGGATATGAACCCTGATCCTTTAGCCTAAAGCTGGTGTTACCCAAAAGAGCCAACCAGATCCCCGCAGAATTTTCAAGAATGTTACATTATATTTACTTCAAATTCAGCGGACAACGGCAACCTGCAACTCACCAATCCACCCTAATCCAATCTTCAACCCAATCTGCTGAGTAAAAAAATAATAAACCCAACCTGGGTTAGGAAAAAAACAACCCAGCATTTTTTTTTTGTGTGTGCAGTGACCCATTCATCTTGAGCCCAAACATATGGGTCAAAATAACTAACCCAATCTGGGTTAGGAAAGGACAACCAACTACAACAGAGTGTGTAGTGACCCATTTCAAGTGCAAAATGTTTCCAAGGTGGTTGTATTTGATTTAACAGTCCACACCCATGGCCGGCTCCTCCTCCCATTGCGGTAAAGCAGTTACTCATCACTGCCCAGTCTGCTCGTCTGGTCCACATAGCCTTCCAGGAATGCCTGCCTTATGCGGACAAAAAAATCGGCGGTCTCCGTCAGAAGCTCATCGATGCTGTGATGTTAAAGCAGTTACCCATATTCGGATTTTATGAGTCATTTGCTGTGGGTTCAGAAATAGACAAGACCCCATTTCAATTGTTTTGGGCACGAGCCAGCTGCTAAAATTAGGGACATTCTTTTATATGCAATAAGGAAGGCCCAAGTGTGTTTTGTTTTTATTTTGTTTTATTTCATTGTATTGTGGGGGTTTTTTTTGTATTTTTTTTTTAGTTTTTGATCTTATTTAGTTTTCGTTGCTTGCATTTCATTTAATTGTTTATGATGACTGCATTTGATTTTCATTTGTATTAATTGTGTTCATTATTATTGTGTTATGTTATTGTATTGCTTTATTTGATTGCAATTTATTTTATTATACTGAATTGTTTGTGTTGCATTTAATTGTATTTGATTATTGTATTGTTTTAATTGTGTTTTATGTAACGCATTTAATTCGTCTTAATATTGCATTTTAGTTTGTGTTCTGTCTTGTTGTATTTGTGATTCGTGGCATTGTATTGGGTTTTATGGATCATATTTTAATGTGTTGTGTTGTTTTTATTCTACTGCAATGTATTTGATGGTGTTTTGTTGTATTTCTGAACATTTGTTGTGAGAGGGAATGATTCCGCCTCATCAATCGACACTCAGCCCTTCGTGTCAAAACCTATTTAAAGATATTTGAACCCTCGCTGTCACGCAATTGAAATTAGGTCATTGCAGTTCTCATCATAATTATTTATCTCTGATAATTCCCGCACTCTCGAAATAATCCACTTTCAATACCCTTTTGATTATTTTTCTACATATTTATTTTCAAAGCTCTGAAACCAAATCCATTGAGACAATTCCACACGCTGACTGGGGTGCAATTCAAATGAACGTACAGTACATGAGAGTATTTAGAAAAGCACACAACTTCAGTATGTCATCAGGAGAAGAATTGGGTCCCCCAAAAATGCACAGCCATGGTCTGATGGCCCGCAGGGTTCTTTTCCACCTGATGCACGTGGCACTCATTTCCTAATATTGTAATTGGCCAGCTTATCCCGGCTGGACGTCACCTCGCTCGGCTCTTCATTCCACGCGGACGATTCTGCAGCCTGTAGGGGGGTCAGAGGGGAGTTCACCTGGAGGTGTTTGTCCAAGCAGAAAGTACAAGCTGACTTCAACCATGTCAGTAGCGGTCAAACACTGATGTCGCTGTGTGGTAGTGCGATCGCACTCCATCGACTGTAATCCTCCACCAAGCTCGGACAACCCTTTCGATTGGCACAAAATTGTACACTTGAATACACTCACCAACTCTATACGGCTGAATATTGAATGTATAAAATTACATTAGAACTCTACATGCCTTTCGATATTTTCGAGGCGATGACAGCGCCCGTGGTGGGTCTCGATCAGCTGTGTGAAAGTTTACACGTCTTTGTTACAGCTGCAGCACTGTAACACAATAAAGATGTTTTGTATTATATCGCAAACGTGCATCATACAAGCAAGCATGACTGTGTCTGTGCGTGTGTGTCTGTCTGTCTGTATGTGTGAGAACCATGTGCAGTTCTTTAGCAGGGCAGTGTAGCGTGCAGTGCAGGAGCCAGCAGAAGCGGCCCAGGCGAGCGCGGCCCCCGCTCCGCTGGTAATCCCTGCGTTTTCAGGAGCCCTGGCCCGTACTTGATGGGCTTGAGCAAGAAAAAGGTTGCGCTCTCTCCCGTGTTTCTCCCCATGTCACTCTCTCTCTGTCTCTCACTCTTTTATTCAACCTCTTTTTCTCATGCACAGACCCCTCTTCTCCTGTCCTCGTACCCTGGAGCCACTTTTGCGAATGACTGGCTTCCAAGTGTTAACTCAGCAACTTTTGTTCAGCCGGCTCTCATCCTCTAGTTCGTACACATGTCAACATGTCAAAGAATCCGTTTCGGAAGAATACTCAAAATGAAATCTCTCAAAGTCAAATGGTCGTGCTGGGAATTTAGCATGATATGGGGGACAAAACAGATCAGTCAGAAATAGTAAAAAAAAATCTATACATAAATAAATATATATATATATATATATATATAGATTAACTCAGGGTTGTTCAATCAATTTTACTGCAACCATCCATGTATTCGGAAAGTTGGCAGTGAACAAAGTACGCCAAAACCACCTTGAATAGTTTTGACAGTGTGCATGACCTGCAGTGTTAGCACCAAAACAAAAAGATTTCCATGCCCTTTGTTTACTTACCCTCAGGGTTCTTCCATTGGTTCTCTCACGCCTATCAAGCTATATGTTGAGTAGTTGCTAAAATTAATATTCAAAACTGCCTGAATTAGTCATGACTTTGCATTACATATTGGGATGATCCGCAAGGGGAGAGCTTGCAGTTTACCTGCATAAACGCACTTTGCATGTGCCAATCTCATGCACGGACCTCAGCGTGTTAATTTCTGCTCCATATGCGCCGATATCAAACAACAATGCAATACTGTATACGCTGAATATCACTTCAAAGCCATTAATCATCACCATGGGTCCCCTATAGGTGCTCACTTCCCATCATCCTCGTTCACCAACACAAAGTAACCCAACAGAGATGACTGTACCCCCTCCCGACTCGACCGCTGCTCAGTCAGACAACACTAAGCCCAGCTAGCTACTCACAGCCAGTGGCTAACAGCTTCAGACAGGCGTGGGAGCAGGGCCGTATCCAAGCAGGATCTGCCCTCAGAGCTGCCAGGTCAGCCAGGACAAACAGGGGCTCAGACCAGGAAACGGGCCCTCTGCCTCGGGGCCCGAAGCCTCTTGCTAATCCCCCTGCCATAGCACCCACTCCGGAGCCTCCCTATACCTCTACTGCACCTCTGCAGTCTCTCTTTCGCTCTGGTCCATCAATCAACTGGCCATTGTCCAGCAGTTAGTTCACGCCAAGCAATTTAATTGGAAAAAAACAAAACAAAACAAAACAATTCCGACCCTGCTCCAACAACATTCAGATTTTTCGCCTGCGTTTTAACCGACTAATTTGATCAGGTTACACCAAAGGAGTTTCTTAATTATAGCGGATGGTGGCCAACAAGCATGCAAACAAATGAATAAGAACTGTCTTTTACAGTTTGTGTCCAGAATGAAAACATCTCACCTCCTTTTGACGCAACCAGCATTTTAAAGGTTTGCATTCAGTCTAAAAGTAAAAGCTGCTGGTCAGCTTCTTCAAAGGCGCAGACAGGCAATTTAGACCATAGACTAGCCAACTACTGTAAAACGTTATATTCTTAGTTATTATCGTTTTATGTTCGAGCATCACATTATTTCATGTTAAGATGATCTAAATTACATTCTGTTGTTTAATAATCGCTTAGACATGTTTTTATGTTGATAGCTTCTGATTGGCTGAAGAAAAGGAAGCAGGAAGTGATTCCGTGGCCGAGAAGTGGGCGTGTTTTCGATCGTGCTTCGGTGCAGACGTTTTGAAATAAAACTGCGTTCAAACGCAGTCCATCTCTTCTTTTGCCGTTTATTAAAGCAGAGCCATCCATTCATAAACAACGAAACTCTCAACTTACATTTAGCATTGCCAGTCGATGGTCAAACAAACACAGAAAAAAAAAATATGATTAACTGTTCTAAAAATGCTGCTACAAGTATGTGTAAGGCCAGATGACTTTAAGATATGCTGGATGGTGGTGAAAAAAGTCGAAAGACAGTCAATAAAAATTATCCCCATTAACTAGTTTTGGCAGGCTTCATTCCAAGCTATTTCATTCAGTCCTTCTCAAATGAGGATTAAATGCGCAGAACACAACATACACCTACAGTCGAAATGTACTTTATTTTAAAACAGCATACAGTGATAATATTTTGTAATTATACGTCAAGATGGCAGGAGTGAAAATACCGCACATGAATACACAATCCACCTAACTAGCTAGCTCAACAGTGTTAGTTCCTTAAAACTGCATAAGGTTGATGCCAGAATGATTGACATGTAAAAGATTTCTTTAAAACTGTGAAAACCAATGAATGAAGCCTTTTTTAATGGGATTTTTCCGTAATTATTTTCTCTGATAAGCGAAATATGAACTTCAGACGGCCCTTCGTGTTTCTCTGACCTCTCTCCAATTGCTGTATCTTCATCTCTGTATCTGTTTTACTAATCACTTAGAACGGTTGCTGCACTGCCACATTTAAAGGCTGTTGTCCTCATATCAGTTGTGTGTAGAACCGTGTTTTCACTCGAAAATCCGTAAGACAACACGTCTTGTCCGCGACCAGGAAACTGTTTGACGATCACTTTCGGAAAATGAAAATGAAATGGAGAGATATTTACTTTTCTTCCCCAAAAGCTTTGATAGCTCAATTGCTTGTGTTCAGTGGCTTGTTATTATTTTTCAATTGCCGCATTGTCCGTCGGGTTTGCAGTAGCATGGAGCAGCTCTCCGAGTGTTGTTTCTGCTCTGAGTATACAGCCGCCATGCTGGGAGAGCAGCACGGTGGCAAGGACTCCGAACTTGAAGTGCTACCTAGGATAAGGAGGAAAATGGAGGAAAGAAGGAGGAAAATTCCACAAATGTTAACACCTATCAGGGTCCCTCTTTTATGCAATAGCTATGATGTATAGTTGAGGTCAAAATGTTCCGAACCCCGGGCAAAATTTTTGTTGAATTAATTGTTTTAATTTTTTTATTTTATGAATGCTATCTTCATCCATCCATTATGTGATCCGATTATCATTCCGAAGGTCGCAGGCATGGTGCATCCTATCCCAGACTTATGGCTGGAAAAAAAGCTGTTCGAAGTTACGAAATGTTGATGATAAATATTAAACATTTCAACATCTACATAGATTTGGTATATTTTCGTTTGAAGAAAAAAATATTTTCTTCTCACATAATTCCGAGTTTTCTAATCAAGTATTTAGAACATTGGAAATGCCTGTATTGAGAAAAGGAATTAATTCAGATGGAACTATAAATAGCTTCCATTAAGGCACAAATAAAGCTTCACTAACTCAAAATGTGGCATTTTTGGGTTCAACTCACTGTTTAATCAAACAACACATTTACAGTTCACCAAATCATGTAAGTTTCACATGACAACTTCATATCTATTACCATAAGAGACAAATTAACATAATTCTTGAACAAGCACATTTATATTTTTTATTCATGTATACATAATTATAGATTTAGAAAAATAACTTGGACAATTCAATTAAAGGTTGACAAAATGTATTTGTCAGCTTTAATGTTTCATTTGGGATAGTTCATATATGATGGCCACAACATGGTGCCCTTCACAAATTCAATGCAATCCAATAATGCAGTCAATAAACCACAATAGGCTACAACCACAATAATAATTTGTCAAATTAATATTTCTCTGTTCACTCATTAATACTCATCTAAAGGTATTTTAATGTGCATTATGTATGTAGCCTACTTAGGTTTACATTCAAGCAGTTTTCAAACACTATGCTTCAAATTTACTGTAATTTAGCTCCACATACGGCCAGATTACACACAGGTGAAACGCTATGTGCATTTTAAATTGTTTTTTACATGACTGGAAGACTGACATCAATGAGCAAAACAAAAAAAAAAGTTTTGGTGCAGCTGCAGCTTCGTCATCAGGGAGCCAGTTGCGTCATTGCTCCCCCCACCTTTATAAGACTGTCAGCGCCCGTGCATCTCACCTGGAATGACACCAAGCACCCAAAGCAAGGACACGACGCAGGCTACTTTTCTAAAAAAGTTTCTCGAAATATTGCCTGTTCACTTCTTTCTCTTCTATGAATCTGGCAAACTACTCGTACTATTCTGGCATGTGCAACATGACCGCAGAGACGCAGCACTCTCCCGCAGAGATCAGCCCGGTGGTCCTGTCCCCCAACGTCAGCCTGGACTCGCCGCTGCCCCCGCTTTTGTTGCAAGGCCGCTCCAAGGACGGCGTCCTGATCAAGTCGGAGCCGCGGGGGCCCAGCCCCGACGCCGAGGACGGAGTCGTGCTGGGCCAGACGGATCAGGAGCACCTGCCCACCGGTAGCCGCCGCAGGAAGAGACCCGTGCAGCGGGGCAAGCCCCCCTACAGCTACATCGCTCTCATCGCCATGGCCATCGCCAACTCCCCCGAGAGGAAACTCACTCTGGGGGGCATTTATAAATTCATCATGGAGCGCTTTCCGTTCTACAGGGAGAACTCCAAGAAGTGGCAGAATTCGATCCGTCACAACTTGACCCTCAACGACTGTTTCGTCAAGATCCCGCGGGAGCCCGGCAGACCCGGGAAGGGCAACTACTGGACTCTGGACCCCGCCGCCGAGGACATGTTCGACAACGGGAGCTTCCTGAGGAGACGCAAGCGGTTCAAGCGCACAGATGTGAGCACCTACCCGGGCTACATCCAGAGCTCCAGCGCCTTCACGCCCACCCCGATGGGAAGGCCTTCCTACCCCAACACCCTGTACGCGGGGATCGGGTCCGGGTACGCGGCTTCCTCCCCGCATCCGGCCATGCTGCATCACTACCAGACTTCCGCCGGCGTGTGCCAGGCGCAGCCGCGCATGTTCAGCATCGATAACATCATCAGCCCTCAGACGATCGGGGAACTCAACCCCCAAGCTTTGCAGGGGCTCGGCGGGGGGGGCCCGCCCGCCATGACCTCAAGCTGTTCGGTCACCGGGGGGGACCCTTCCGCGTGTTTCCAGACCCAAACCGTCAACCAGTCCGCCAACATGTTGAGCAGAAACAGCGGCAATATGTCCTCCAATATCCCCTCCAACCTCACCCCGGCGTACCCCTACTCCTCCCCGGCGTCGCCTCCCAACCTGACCGGCGTGGCCCAGTCCGGTTTTTCCCCCGGGAGCTCTCAGGTGTACTGCCCGGGCAACAGGCTCTCTCTGCCGGCTCTGCGGCCGAGCTCCTGCGCGGAGCACACGGAGCAGCTTCTGGGTCTCTCGGGCCCGATGAACACTTACAACAACTCTTACATGAGACAGGCCAACTTTGCATCGGGACTGGAACGATACATGTGACAGCCCGGTTGAGGAACATTTTGTATTTTATATTCTTATTAATATTTAGTTTGACAGTAAAGGATCAAGCCTTGTGAGAAAACATTCCACTTTTTCCAAGCCATTCATATTTTGACACATTCCACGAGGTCACCTCGGAGATTTAAGTGTTTCACAGACTTTAAAATTGTGTGTTTTCGTTACGTTTTGATGTCGTTTCTATTTTTTAAAAGAAAAAGTTGTCAGTGCAGCAATCAGAAATAAATTCATTTTAATGGACTCTCCACCTTTGACAGTTTCATTATGTTTACACAATTATGGAGAATAAAGTAATAGATTCGTTTCGTTTAATTACTTTTTAGCTAGGGGATGTCTGCAATATTTAAAGCGTATTCACAAAGAACACGTCAAAGAATAAATAAGTCATTGATACACGGTAAGAACAGATTGCCTGTACCGCCGAGTGCGAGTTCATTTCTCCTTGGGGGGGGGGGGGGGTTAAAATTTTAAAATAAATACAAGACAAAAAAAAATAAATAACACCTATAGTTTTGCCTCAATATCTGAAAATCAACAGTATAATAACAAAAATCTTGAAACGCGTCAGCGTGTCACGTGTAATTAATTAAAGTTACTTAAAATCTCTCAAAACTTTACAAATGTCAATAAAATAAATGTCAACGATTGTTATATTGGAATTTGTGATTACTTTTGTAGCAATAATCCAAATCCAGAACCAGGTTAGATTTCACAATTAAACAACAATGTTTATATTTTGTCTAAATTTCATAATGCACTAGAAAAATAACGATGATTGAAATCTGGTTGTGGATGATACTTCGCTTTAACATGTTGATGCAATTAAAGAATGTGTATGACAAAAAAATCAACAAAATATTAGCATTTTATTGAATCTATCATTCAACATGTATCGGATTCACATTAACACTGATCATTGGCTATTTTTAGGACTTTTAGCTAGCTTTTCAGTTTCCAGTGTCTGGTTACATATGTCATTGATATAGACCAATATCAGTTGTCTCTCTGGTCCCACCAGGCAGCAAAATTAGTCAGGGGCCCCATGTGGGAGTTTCCCGAAAGCAACATGTTGTCATTATGGTGCTTCGTCATTAAAATGAGCTCATCTCAGCTGTTTCTCGGGGATCCCTTCTACTTGGGGCCTTAGGCCTGGCCTGTTGCAGAGTTGACAGTGTGGTGCAACAGTGCAGAGGTACCAGGTTCAATTCCAGCTCCGGCATCCCTGTGTGTAGTTTGCATGTTCTCCCCGGGCCTGCGTGGGTTTTCTCCGGGTATTCCGGTTTCCTCCCACATTCCAAAAACATGCCTGGCAGGCTGATTGAACACTCCAAAATTGTCCCGAGGTGTGAGTGTGAGCACGGGTGGTTGTTGGTCTCTGTGTGCCCTGCAATTGGCTGGCAACCGATTCAGAGTGTCCCCCACCTACTGCCCGGAAACAGCTGGGATAGGCTTCAGCACCACTACCAACCCTTGTGAGCATAAGCGGATCGGAAGATGGATGGATGGATGGAATAGTAGGCTAGGCAAACCAAGGCAAATGTATTTCTATATCACATTTTATACACAATTGAAAGGCAAAGCAATGAAAACAAACTTAGCTTATTCAGTTTCCTCAAAAGAATTTACATGGACAACATTTGAACACTTTTCCAAATAAAAGATTTAAAGACATTTAAAAACCAAAGAAAGAACTAAAAAGTAGCTTTCTGAAATTAATCAAGGACTATATCGTGAAATTGTTTTTAAAAATGATTTTAATCAGAGGAAAGTGAAAAAAGGCATAGTTTTCAACCTGCATTTAAAGGCATTTACTGTATACTTGGGGATGAAGCCAAATAAAAAAAATTCAGACCTCTACTTATTCTGATAATATAGATTTTAAACTCACTAGCAAAAAAAAAAAATCTAAAATCAGTAAAACTGCTCTCACTGTTCAGTGTTTATCGACACTCCCATCATCCATTTTCTCTGGCGCTCATTCTCATTTGAAGGTCAGGGGCGAGCCTATCCCACCAAATTTTAGGTGATAGGCTGGGATGGGTTACATCCTGGCAGGGTCAGATTCAAACCCCCAACCGCAGAAATATGAGGCAGATGTACTTTACAATCAACACTATGATTTTATTGTGGTTGTACTTTGCAGTAGTCCACAAACGCGCTGCTTCATACGAAGAGCTGGTGCCAACATTTTGGTTATTTTCAGGGAGTAGCGTGCTTCCCCCCCCTTGTATTTATAATGAACAGCAGAGGGCGCTATAACCTCATAAATCCAGGTAAAAGTGAGCAACAACGGACAAATCTGGATGGCATTGAGTCTTTATGCGCAGATGAAAATAACAAATTCAAGCAGGTCCTCCCCCAAAAATGAAATTGTCTTTTGTAATAAGTTACACAAAAGTCAAACAAAGTATTGTGTTATTGTTGCAAATAAAGTATAAAATCATGGTGTATTTTGAAGCACAGCGTGAATAGAAAAAGATTTTACCTTCAGGGCAAACTTTGCCCAGAAATCACGTTGACTTGCAAATTTGAAAGGAAGTGATAAGATATGATTAGTAATGATTTAAGATCATTTACATGGCCTGGCTTAAGTGCATTATATGCACACTGTGTGACTTGCTGGTGAAATCCAGCTGTCATAAAGTGTGTGTGTGTGTGGGGGGGGGGGGGGGATTAATCCAGGACAGAATAATGACATTTTCTCACAAATTGTTGTTTATTGTTGTGAAACGACAACATTTCTATAGACAATATTTTAAAGATTAAAAGTTCTCCAATGTTGAGCATTTAATTGAGCGAAATTTTAATTTCAACCCCAAAATATAATTATTACACGTTTCAATGAAAATGCACATTTTATAACTTCAATGGGTGTGATGGATTTTTGAACGGCTTTTGGTTTTGGAGTATGAATAGGCCCTTCTTTTGAAAGTGAGTAAACTTTGAAATTCAGCAGGGGATCATCTAATTTTCTCCTTGTATATTTCCATTAAATGTAACTCTGCCTTTTAATCAATACTGGCCGCTAGATGGCGTCTGTCACTTAAACTTTGACAGAACCATTTTTATCTCAGACTTGGCTTCATATTTTACCCTCCATCAAATCGTGTGGAGGGCGACACGGTGGTCGACTGGTTAGGACGTCGCCCTCACAGTGCAGGTGCAGGGTTCGATTTCGGCATAGCATGTTAATTGAACCCTCTAAATTGTCCTGAGGTGTGATTGTGAGCGTGGAAAGCTGTTCGTCTATGTGTCCCCTGCGATTTGCTGGCAACCAGTTCATGGTGTACCCCGCCGACTGCCCAAAAACACCCGGAATAGGCTGCAGAACACCCGCGAAAATGGATGGATGGATGGAAAATTGTGTGGATTCATGTACGCAACAAAAAGAAGTTTTAAAGTGTGTTTGTCCGTCGATTATCTTAAATATGTCATCTCAATTCTGTAAAGATGTGAAAGCATACAACGTCAACAATGCAGTTGAGTATGGACCGTATTTGCACCCACACACCCTCGACAAAAAAACATTGCCGTCTACTGGTCCTTTATTGTAGTACTGTATACAAGTGAACACTCAAGAAAAGGAAAAAAGAAAAGGACTGTGACTTATTAAGAAACGAAAGCAAAAGCATGAACCAGATCAGTGTGATTGAGGATTTACCTGCCAGCCACAAGGCGTTGAATTATAGGTTTTCCATAAGCAGCGTGAATTACAAAAAAAAACAAAACATTCATAAGTAATTAAAAACAAAACAAACAAGTACAACGTTAAAAATACTCCAAATGCCGAAAATATGTCAGTATTGGAAGACCATACATTCAAGAATATAAATCTAAAGCGAGAAAGCAATTTTTGTTATTGACAATAATAATAATAATAATAATAATAATAATTTTGGTTATTTGCAAATGATGCACATCAAATTTGAGATCGTTAATAACTCTACATTTCTAATTGCAACGATAATAATCATTCGTAAAAAAATACTTTTCATCCTAAACTAAAACGAAGGTAAAAAAAAAATAAAATCAAATACATAGAAATAATAAAATGTTTATTAGCAGCACAACAAGGATGTTACTATTTGAATGTTCTATTCGGTTCAATAACATTTGTCATCGAAAAGGTGACGAACAAAAACACATTTTATTGCAATCAATAATACATTTGTCAGAAATGCACATATTAAATCACTCCATATACGTTTTTTTTTTGTTCCTGGTCATTCAATTTTAATTGAACATAAAAATATCAAAGTTAAATTGTGATATGTAAATTTGGCCCAGTTCCCGTGAGTGCGTCACCAATCACGTGACTAGGGTGCTCCGATAAATACGTAAAGGAAGCAGAGGAGGCTCGTGTGGCTCTTTGGTTGGATTCTCAAATGCACGTAATCTTCTCGAAAATTGTGTTATTCGATCATGCGTGATTTTTGAAAAGTCACATTCGACATGAAGTGCTAAAGGAGGGCAGTAGTGGATCGGAGGAAGATCGATGATCTGTGATTGACTTGTACGCCTGGAAAGAGAGAGAGAGAGGGAGCAAGAGAGAGAGGGAGAGAGAGCCGAGCAGAAGTTTCCTGCTGGATGACACTCGCGCCCCCAGAACTCCGAGAGACGCCAAAGGCTGCAGGTCCAACTTTTTTTTCGTCCTTTCGCTTTTGCATTCTAGAACCATGCGTGTGTTGAGTCCTCGGCGACGCGAGTGCAACCAAGTTCTGGTGCGGTTCTAGAGTGTCGGGTGCGGTGGGCTCTCAAAGAGGAGACCATCTCGGCAGGAGGGGAGGAGGGGTGCACGAGAAGGATGACTTTAGGGACGGATATGTCCGACAGCTCTGCATTGTCCGATGATGTGGACATTGACGTGGTCGGGGGGGATCTGTCCGTCGGGAAGGACGGGAAGTACCTGCACCACGATTTCAACCTGGACTCCGATGATAATTACTCCCAGAACGCCGAGGAAGGGGCGTCCTCGCCGGGCCTGAGCAGCTCCGACTGCCCGGCGGAGCAGATGGGAATCGGCGCCGAGGCCGGGGCGGTTCTGGTGGGCGAAAAAGCAAGGAAAAGTGCCCTGGTGAAACCCCCTTACTCCTACATCGCGCTCATCACCATGGCCATCCTGCAGAGCCCCAAGAAGAGACTCACCCTCAGCGAGATCTGCGAGTTCATCAGCAACAGGTTCCCCTACTACCGCGAGAAGTTCCCCGCTTGGCAGAACTCCATCCGGCACAACCTCTCACTCAACGACTGCTTCGTGAAAATCCCACGGGAGCCCGGCAACCCCGGCAAGGGCAATTACTGGACGCTGGACCCGGACTCGGCGGACATGTTCGACAACGGGAGCTTCTTGCGCAGGAGGAAGCGCTTCAAGAGGAACCAGGGCAACGAGATCCTGCGGGACGCCGGGGGCTTCCTCCCCGGCTTCGGATACAGCCCGTACGGATACAGCTACGGACTTCAGCTGCAGAACTTTCACGCCGCGCACAGCCCGTATCACCCGCACCACCATCCGCACGCGGGGGGCTCCTTCCCGTTCCCCAACTCGCCGTGCACCTTGCCCTCGCCCATCTTCCCCGCCGGGCCCCCTCCTTTGCCCGACCTGAGGAAGCCCTTCTACCCGACCCTGGCGCCCGTCAAGACGGACTCGAGCGCCCCGAGTCGACCGTCCTTCTCCATCGACAACATCATCGGCGCGGCCAACACCGCCGCGTCGTCGTACGGCGCGCAGCCGGCCGGGCAGGCGCACATCCTGGCCATGCTCAGCCCGGCCTTGGGCTCGGCTTCCAACCACTTGAGCCTGGCGCAAGACTTGTTACAGCCCGGCACACACGGGCAGCAGACTTTCCCCAGCAAAAACTTGAACACTTGCCCTTTCTGAAGAAGAAAAAAAAATACTGCCCTGAACTGAACGTATTTTTCTTACGAAAAAGCCAAATGTGGTGTGGTCCTATATGTGAAGGTAGGCTGAACGTTATTGGGGGGGCGGGAGGGGGGGGGGGATAAGTATTGTGTTTTGACTCCATAAGAGGGTTTATTTATGCTTTGTAAATAGGTGCATTTGAAGAAGCAACGATTCATTTAAACAGGCCTATACCCGGCCTCCATTTTGTGTTGTAAACGAAAATAACACCTTAAATTCAACTTGTCACCACGAGGAGTGGGTTTTAACATTTTTACGTTACATTTTGTGTTTCTAATAGTGTGGTGACACATGAAACAGACAACTCAGGTTTTAAACTTAGAAAAGCAAAGGAAAAAAAAATAGCAGCACCCCCAAAATCTCCCGTACAAAGTGATTTTTTTTCCTTGGTTGTTTTAAATATTTTGTTATTGGTTAAAAAAAAAGCACATTACCTCCATTCAAACTTGTTTCATGGTTGTATTTCACATACAGTTTCATGTCATGTGTTGCCAATAGAAAAAGACAAATGTTCATTATAGGTCATTTTTTTGGGCTGTAATGACAAAAATAATAAATGTTTTGTGGATTTGAAAGGAAGAAATCTACTTCTATTCTTTTCATTGGATGAACAGTTAAATGAAATTATATGATGAATTGGGATTGTGAGGAAGGGGCTTTCACTCAGACAACATTTCATTTAAATATGTCAAAAACATCAGTGGGTGTGCGGGTGGGGGCCATGCATTCATCCCGTTTGTGGCTCTTGCTTTTCTTACAAAAAAAAAAAGAGAGACCCCTTTTCGAAAGGGCCTATGAGGGAAAACTTGGTGGTTTGTAATTGAAAATGGACAATATCCCCCATAAGCTCTTTAGATTTTGTGGAGCGAATTACGGGGACTTTCGTTGCTAATTTGTAGCAGCATTTTCATTGGGGCTCCTAATCCAGCGTTTGTTGATGTTGTCAGCGAGGACCCCCGGGGACTCAATGCGCGCACAGCGAGGTGTCCCCCTTTGGCGGGCCCAGTGCAGCCACACACGCATTTAGGAGTCTTGAAAAGCAAAGTTGTCAAAGGGCCCTCGCGTTTGCAAAGGGGCCGCTTTCATGTCATCGGCGTTGTCTGGGAACACGAATGAAAAAGAAGCAGTTGGGGGGAACCCCCCGAAACAGGCCCAGTGGTCTTTTTTGAACCGAGCATGTTTGTGGACAGAGGAGCTTGCAAGCGAGGATTTGGCTTTTGTGCGCAAACGTGCGGACAAATTAGTTTGCGGGTGTTTTGACACGTGATTATTGCGGATGAAAGGCGAGGGAGCGATGACCCGTCTTGTCCGTCCTGTGGCGCAACATCGGCGCTTTTCAAAGGCTTTGAAACGAAAACCAACACATGTTCGCTTCTTTAGTTTGCAAGCACAGTTCTGCTGCTGGAGCAAAATGGACCAATGAGACGCGTTTTCTTTTGCATCCTCCTCCCCTCCAAACAAAAATGTTGCCTTGAAGATGACTCACCTTTTCAGCGAAATATCAATTTCACAAGATTTCGCTGTGCTGTCTTCTTAATATTTTGTTCATCTTATATCGAGTTAGAAAATAAGAACAATTCAGTATGATGCATAAAAAACATGCTGTGGGATGATTTTTACACACTAAAAGCGAATAAAAAAGTAAAACAATTATGATCATTGTTGACAATATCGTTATAAGCAGTAGGATATTTTAACGATGAATTTTTGTGGACCGTTGTTTTATTTTTCTCATCCATTGCTTGAGCCCCAAAATGCAATGGATTACACAGAAAACCAACAAAAATAACAATAGAGGCCCTACATACAGTGCCCTACCCTATATAATAAGAATAAGAATAAGAAAACCTTTATTCGTTTCTCAATGGAGACATTCTCAATTTACAGCAGCAAAGTTTTTTTTATACACACACACACACACACACACACACACACACACACACACACACACACACACACACACACACATTTATATATTTATTTACGGTTGCATATGATTGGTCAAACTCAGATAAACGCATACCATATATGAAGCTTATTGCACGTTTTTGCGATAGACGCATTTTGCACGATCCATTATCGCACTGACGATATTTTTTCCCGATATAGTGTGCACCTCTCGCACCCGTGTGCGATATAAACCACCATCTCACCCAATAGCCCTTTATAGCAACAAGAAGCAAATGATTGTTTGAAATAAAAAACTTAACCATGCATCTCGTAAACTCAACAGTGCTATTTTAAACTATATACCACCTTTAAAAAGAACCTGCACGAACCCCTCAAGGCAGTCTGTCGTGTATCTCATAAACAACTTTTGTGTATGTATGTATGTATTTATTTATTTGATGTGATTTTTTTTATGATTATGAACTAAGTTTTCTTTCTTCATTGACCATTTTTCTGTTCAAGCCCTTAAATAGAGAATAGAAATGTATGCAAATTTGCATCGCCATGCCATCAACGTATTCTACTGATGGCAATATAAATTCCTGCAAAATATGCTTCCTCAATAAATTACAATAGGAATAGCTTGCGCATTATTATTATTTTTTTGGGAGGAAGAATTTACTCTGATCAAGTTAGACTTCAGAGAATTCGATTTTTCAATCCTAATAAAAACTGACCTGATTTTTGGTCTCCCTCCCCCTTCCCCCCCAAATCAAGTTGGGGACCCCCGTGCATGCAGTCGTATCAATGTGTCTAAAATTGCATGTGCAAGACCCTCCTGGGCGGACTGTCATGCAGACGCATCATCAGTCCATTAGAATCTCTGCATGAGGACACAATCGAATGGCGTCTCATTCAGACATGCACGATACAAGATTACAGGGTACGACGAGCAGAAATAGACCTATGCTCTTCTTGTTTAAAAAAAAAAAAGACACCACAACAAACAACTCGCACACCCGGCGACCATCTTCCCTTTAATTTTTATTTTGATTCTGTCTTGACTTCAGCTGCAACTGCACGCTTATGTTTGACAACCGGGACCACCCGCACGCACCGGAGAGAGACCGAGAGATTGTCTTGATTTAGACACCGCGACGCTCGTCATTTTGCGTGACGTTGTCTCGAAGAATAGCCTCGAGTGATGCGTGACGTGACAGCCAAATGACTCCAAAAGTGCGTTTATTACGTTTTTTTTTACCCCCTTGGACTAACCGCTTCCATATGGGCTGCGGGGGGAAAAAAACCCAAAGCATTGTTATTTATTCGTTCGATAAATATTAGTAAAGATTGATCATGATAAATATGTGAGGATACATATTTATACCATTACTTGGCGATATATTTTGACAGCGTGAATGCATGCGCGCATGACAGAAAGGAGCTTAGCCAAAATCATTATGCCCGAATCTTTCACCACCTTGTCAATACACTGGGACCCTTGATCGATACATCTTCCTTAGACTTGAAGGACACAAGGGCAGTGCCTGCGCGCGCGTGTCTATGGGTGTGTGTGCGTGTGTGTGTGCGTGTGTGTGTGTGTGTGTGTGTGTGTGTGTGTGTATACCTATTTAATTGATTTTTTTTTTTACAAATGAAACCTTTGTGTGTGTAATTTACATCTTAACACCATATAAAATAATATCATATATTAGACTACATCCCAATTTATTAGGTTCCACAATGACATCCAGTAACTGAAATGCTGCCTTAAAAATCATTTGAGTCACCGCATCGAGAGGTATTCGCTCAACGACGTTATATATACCACTGAAAGCTGTTCCTAATATTTTGCTTCCCCCTAATTGGTTTCACAAGAGAGGCAAGCCGCAATCACGATAATAACCACATTATTAAATCGATACCTTTGGCGCGCGTGTCAAAACCGAGCATCATTATCGCTGTAAAGAGAAAATCCATTTTTGCGCATGATTAGAGGGTGCAGCTATACCTATAATTAATGTGGCCGGAGACTAGAACTGCACATTTTTTAACTTTGTGAGTTAATACACCACCAATAAATGGAATTAGAACACATATTGTGCAATTTTAAGTAAAAGTACACAGCGGAACCTGGGCTGCCGCTTTGCAGGGAGGAATGTTGGCCCGGTCCGAACTGCTCCTTGGCCGAGGAGGAGAAGTGAGCCAAGGCCAGCCTCGATAAATCACTCTGGCCTCTCCCACTACCACCACCACCACCACCACCATCCAATGTTCACCCCCCCCCCCCTTGCAGCAGCCTGCGTGTTTTTGCACCACACGAAGGCATCCCGCTCTTAATTCATTTAGATTGTGTAAATAAAGCCCAGGACAGTCAATTCCCCCATGGGCCAGAACATAATATGAACTTTGGAAGACATACCGAGTGAAGAGAACACCTGCAGTTGGAAAAAATAATAAAGACGAGGAGGACACTATACGACTTGCTCAATATTAGCAGGTGATTTATTCTCCAGAGGCAGCAATTTGCCTATTATTTGACATTAATAAAAAATATTTTAAAAATCTATATTTGTCAAATAATTCTCCATATTATGTATATATTTTTGTTCATGTTGGAGGTTTTCATACAATATGATGGTATAGGCTAATAATGAAGGAATTTAAAGAAAAAAAATCCATATCCATGAAAAAACAAACAGACAAAGAGGCTATGAACAGAGTTGGACAACAGAATGCACGGAATATCAAGTCATGGGGGAGTTTGATTATTTTAAATAAAAAGAAAATATGATTGGAGGAGTAGAGTTCGTATATTCCGCTGAACTCAGTTTAGTACAATTTTTATTAAGCTTTTAGCAAGAGCACAATTAGTCAACATGCAAGTCATTTGTAACGAATTAAATACGGACTGACACGTTTGCTCCTCATCATTTTCAAGGTACAGATGCAACATGCTGCGTGTGCGTGCTTTCCTTTTTACCTTGTAAGCGGACATTCGGCTCACGCAGCGGTGTTACACACACATCAAATAATCGAATTGACGTTTTTTTTGGACCATTTTTCAAAACAGAACTAAAGAGGTCTTGGACATTAAAATAGCAATTTAAAAATCAAATCGAACACTTTGACGCAATATTTATATACTATCCTTTATTTCGATCCGAATCAAAATGTCTGTTTATGCAGTTGACATCATTAAAAAGACATCGTTGTTATTGTTCGACTCGTAAAAACCAAACTTTAAATCGACTTTTTTTTCCCTCGGCGTGAAAGTGTGTCGGGTGTGTGTGTGTGTGTGTGTTGTGTGAAAAGAAGAGGAAAACCTCGCGATAAAAATGGACTGTATCCATAGTGAAACGCGATCACGTAAAGGTCGCGGGGCCAAACTTTTTAAGACTAATGTTTATTTAGAGAAGTGAGCGCTGTCTATGGGACTCCCCGTTCTAATGTCTTTGCCAGACGTGACTGCGTGGACCACCAGGCACGCACCCAAGCCCCCTCTGCAGCTTGCCTCCTTGCCTCCATGCATCCGTGAAAACTAATAACGAGTGGTCAAAACGACGCTCACTCGCCAATACGAACCATGAATGCGGTTTTGAGTCACCCGATTTGCTTTTGCACGAAGCACCAAAACGTCGACGACCTTCGGCTTGATCTCTGCCTCTTTATTTTAAGTCCAACATTTTTAACGCTCCAGAAGCTGCAAGCAATTGAAATAAGCGGCTCATCAGCAGCACTGCGTGTAAAAAAAAAAAAAGAAACAGTTTTTTCCCTGAGAGATAAAGAAATCTTTTCGAGGGGAAGTTTAGCCACAAATAGTTCAATGGAACTTTTTTTTTTCTCTGAGAGATAAAGAAATTTTTTTCGAGGGGAAGTTTAGCCACAAATAGTTCAATGGTTTGGCAATATTTTCGAGATTATTGGAATAAATAGCGGGAAATGTCATGAGTTGTCTATTCTTTGCGACAATGAGCGATTGTTCAGAGCAGATGCGCGGAATAGTGGTCGGATGAGTGAATGAGCGAGTTTGTTTAAAGGTGCAAGCTGACAAAACGAGTTGACAGTTGAAAAAAAAAAATCAGTGATGTCATCGATGAATCAAAGTGGAATGTGAAGTCGTTTCAAAACTATACAATGACTCCGAACCACAATGTGACACGACACATTCGTGAAAATTTTGGTAAATAGCATTTGTGAGACATTTGTTTGGAAGTCTGCGGTGAGATTTCATATTCATGTCAATATGAGCCTTGGCTCAATAAACTCTGGGGAGCCAATTCTCGAAAAGACACCTCCTCCTTCTGCATTTGAGTAAATAA